AGTAGTAGTAGTAGTAGTAGTAGTAGTAGTAGTAGTAGTAGTAGTAGTAGTGGTAGTGGTAGTAGTGGTAGTGGCCTGCACCCTAAGTAGCGACGGCCTCCAACCTACTTGCGATAGCCTCCGCCTAATAACGTCCTTGCTACTCACTTCATGCTCCCCGCGCTTGTGATTGACCTCATTGTTTGCCGCTGCTGCTGCTGCTGCTGATTTGCCGGCGCTGGCTTGTTGCTGGTGCTGCCCGGTGATGCTTATACCCACATTGATTGTACATAGGTAGTATGGCACCTGTCATCACCTGTCATTGTACCTGCACCATACAGTAACCATACACCACAAACACTCACCCTTCCGTACCGCCTCACATACCATCCACGCCCGTGGGTCTCAAACCGTAAAACTGAAAGAGTTGCCTAGATTGCTGATTTTGAGGCGTTATTGGGGGTCCGTGTATATAATATACTGTATGTATGCGCCTTCTTTTTGCATCCTTCTTTGGCCGTAAAAGTCCGCGCATTGTAGGATCTCAACATGTCCTGCACACACTTTAGCAGTAAATTCCTTTCATTAGAAGACGCGTGATCATCAACAAGGTGGACCAACAGTAGAATCAAAATCCCACCCAGGAAAAATGGATAACCTGCAAAAAGTCAACTATGGTGCCCGGCGCCCCGTGTTTGTTCAACATTATACGCTTGAAACAAAACCGCCATCTGATATCGCATGAGGATATCAGTGGGCACCTGCATTCCAACGGGAAAAACACGTTTGCCAATGGGCGCCCTTACCGCGTCGTTCACGGACGCGGGACCCTCGCGGGCGAGGCGCTGCTCAATGAGGATCAAGCAGTAGAGATTTGTCATTCCTTGCTCCAGCGCCAGCCCACAAGATCAATAGGCGCGACTTCGATTCGATCATCGTCCGCGGTCGGCGGGACACATGCCCTACCCAGAGCATCCAGTTACCACTATAGCTGGCAACATGTTATTCCAAAGACTAGACCCATAGACCCAGAATCCCTGGTTCCTTATATAGTAGTGGTAACTTGGATCCACTGGGCTAGGGATCCGTTTTCGTAGCTTCTCAGGTACGGTGAGGGTTTCGAGGTGCTGTGATCTGGTCCAGTCGTTCCGAACCTGAGATTTGGTACGAAAACGAATGCCAGAGGATGGAGTTCGTTTTGCACCGCAGCTTTTTCAGGTTTCAGGACGACAACAGGAGGAGTTAGGAATTCATCATCATGGTGAAGTAGGCTGTTTTTATGTCACCTAGAACGCCGTCGGGTTGGCAGGAGAGTGAGAGAGGTTTTCTGTGCTTTGATGCGTTTGGATGTTTTTTGTGGGTTGTCACAGTTGTCTTTACATGGAACAACGGAAGGCTCACCGTTTGACCCATCAAAGCTCACTGGACTTCCGGGCTGGATGGGATCAGGCCAACCGCTGCGAAGCTGGGCCGACAGCGGCGCAAGCTCCGTAATCCAAAAATCGGGCTGGTCAGAGGTTGGCTGATTGGGTTGTGGACAGCCTTCTTCTAAAGCTCAAAGAGGTGAGATAACCTTGACTTTGCAAATTTTGTCAGTGGACACACTGACAAGATGAACTGCATGTGTTTCCAAAAACCTTCAGTAGGTTAGGGGGCTAGCCCAGCTTGTGCGAATATGTGATGCGCCATGTGATGCGTGCGCTCGCCGGGTGAGATTGCTGCAGAGCTTGGATGTCAGTCTGGCATCCTTTGATGCGAAAACATGCGAAAACAACTCTTACCGTATACGCTTACCCTCCAAGATTGGCGTTTCCTGGTGACACAATCCACTGGGATTGGTGGGGTCCCCAAAACAGCCCCGGGAGGGTGCTGGAATTCGGTGGTGGTTGTCTCAATCAGGCTCTTTGAGCTCTACAACCACGACCGCCATGAGAAGCTTTCGGTGGCGCCAGACGGGCGTGTCCCGGCCGAATGGTTTCTTCGGTCTTTTTGAGCGAGCTGAGTTTTGGTCAAGAGAAGGTTGAGAATGTATTTTTCTACTTGATATGATGTGAGATGACGCATTCTTGTATGGGTAAACATGTAAAATCAACATTTGCATGGGGGTAGTAATAACTACGTATCCTTTGGGCAGTTGAGGATCTCCTTGACGATTTTCAGTACGGGCTGCGAGAATTCCGCACTCAGCCTCTCGGCGCAAACCTTTTGGCCAAAAACACGGAGCTTCTTCATTCTTCCTCTACCAAACCCTTTTTGATGGGTAAGAGAAACCATCTGGAGACCCGCAAAATTTAAGAGCTGGACACCATTTCTTGGATTGATCGGCATGTTGGAGGTCGGAGGTCGAACCGACGCGTTTCTCAGGGTCCGAGCTACTGAAGCAGCCGATCTCCCGGTCCTCCCAAATGGGGTCCCACGGCAACCTCTCTGGGATGCCTGCTTCTGATGTGCTTATGCTCGAGCCTGATCTCTCCCATGTTGTTGGACCATGGCTCCCAAACAAACAGACAAACAGACAAACTCTATAAACAAAAAGCTCTGAAGGTTGCCCTGGACTCATCGATACGGAACCTCTTCCCAAAACCAGTCCTTGAACACACCTTTCTTCTCTTCATCAGAGTCGCATATGTTTTCAACTTTGGCCTCTGATTGGATGTCCTCGAAACCACCCTCGAACTGGGCCTGGCTCTCATTCATCATTTCCTCTCCCCCCGTTACCATCATATCCGCAACCGGAGGTGCAGCCCCTCCAGACTCATCGGGATGGAGATCATGTGAAGGCACGAACTGCTTTTTGGGTGACAACATGCAGTCTTCATCCGAGTCAATGACAAAGATTTCAGGCTTATGGCATTCGACTGCTTCGATGCACTCATCATGCCGATCTGGGAGGGTTTCTGAAAGTGAAAAACGTCGTCGTTTTTCTCTTGGCGGGATCGGATGGTCGACCCTGCTGGCGCTTTGGATGGGATCTATTTAAGAAGTTTAACTACAAAAAAGTAGCACTTAAAACGTTAAAACAGACAAAACATCTCACTGTCAACCTGCCCCTTTTTGCGGGTTCCTGTATGAGACATGACATGACTCTTCCAACAGTTGAAGAAACCCTTTTGAAGTTCCTGGGCCCCGGATCCTGGAGGTAACCCAGGTTACGGGTCCTGTCACATCAGGTCGCTAGCAACCTCTCGGACGGTGCACTGCCCCACCTCGACGTAAACAAAATTAGACAAACAATACTCCAGAAAAAAAAGCCCAAATAGTATGTCATTCCAACAACAACAAAGCCCTACCCTCAGAATCCAGGACTGGCTGGGCGCAGCCCTCCGGGGCATGGCACGTTCGGCGCCCTGTTGGGGGGTCGAAAGGACATGGAGATCGCTCTTGATTTCTCTTCTCCCCGGCTGGACCGTGTATTGTTCATTGGTGGACCATTGCAGCCAGGTGACCCCTTCAAACATGCTGGTGCTGTGGTTTTTCCTGTGTCAGTGTTGGGGTCCGGCTCCGTAATGTTGTGGTGTTTTGAAATGTCTTGCTACTGGACGTGTCCATCCACGGTACGGTGTTTTGTTTCGTGAAGATGAAACACCCTTGCACAACACGTTGCCTTTTCTCCCAGTCGCCTTTTCAAGCGGTCTTCCTTCCTAGGGCCCCCTCACCCTGGAGCTTTTCTTCGGAAGATATTATTGTATGTGGATTTGGGTCTTTCAGATACAGTGTGTTGTCTTTTTTGAGGAGAGGTTGGATGGCCCCGCTGTCTGCAGAGAGTGAGATGGCCCCCTTTTTGGAGAGTGTCCCATTCGTGCGAAGCTGCTGTGATCAGTGCTCCAACCATTCGCTGACCTCCGGAAGTCCCTCCTAAACCCGCTGGACGTCCATCCGGAATGATCAGGAGATGTTCGACGCACCGTGATGACGAGAAAAGGAAGGTGCGGTGCAAGACCCGGTCGTCAGGGCAGCTCGCTAAAGCAGCTGAGGGGGAAGAGCAAACAAGAGTGAAATGGTCTAGGAAGGTCGAGCAGAACTGCATTCCCTGGAATGATCAGCCGTGGAAAACCCGGGGTCAGAACCAGTGGGCTCCGACGTTCGGGATGTCGCCGGCGTGTTTCGCCGTGGTTTTGGGACTGCCCGCCATGCCTGAAAGACTGAGTGGGACTCTCCCTATGACATGACTCACCTCCAGCCCGGTCGTGCCAAGCAGGTCCCACCTCGACCTAAACAAAAGTAAACAAACAAACAAACAAACAAACAATACCCCAGAAAAAATGCCCAAATAGTATGTCATTCCAACAACAACAACAACAATGCCCTACCCTCAGAATCCAGGCGCCAGTTTTGAGCGATTGGCTGGGCGCCGCCTTGCGGGGCATCCAACGTTCGGCGCCCTGTTGGGGGGTCGAAAGGACATGGAGATCGCTCTTGATTTCTCTTCTCCCCGGCTGGACCGTGTATTGTTCATTGGTGGACCATTGCAGCCAGGTGACCCCTTCAAACATGCTGGTGCTGTGGTTTTTCCTGTGTCAGTGTTGGGGTCCGGCTCCGTAATGTTGTGGTGTTTTGAAATGTCTTGCTACTGGATGTGTCCATCCTCAGTACGGTGTTTTGTTTCGTGAAGATGAAACGCCCTTGCGCAACACGGTGCCTTTTCTCCCAGTTGCCTTTTCAAGCGGTCTTCCTTCTAGGGCCCGCTCACCCTGGAGTTTTTCTTCGCCAATGTCCGTGGGCCCACTGCAAAAGGAATCCTCTAGGAGATCAACAAAATCCATGTTCCAGAATTTTCAGTGTACTTTTCAGGGTAAACATGACCAACGGATGTATGAATATCCTATGAAAACGAATCACCTACTTATTCAGTATATTTTTTGGTCATCCTTGGAACCCCCAAGATTACAGTCCATCTCTCAACACCAGTTCAGTCAAGGGAGGAAAGCCCCTGGCATTGGAGGGTTACTAGTCTAGTTCTAGCCCCGTTCGTAAAATCCTTGCTCCGTTCGAAGCGATGCCCTTAGTTCCGTTCGTAGCTTCTTCCTACTAAAGGTCTACGCTGACATCATTTCTTTCGAGTCTTTGAGCCTGAGGGAAAGGGCGGACCTTCATCCCAGGCGTCCGCCGCTCCACTCGTTGAGTTTGCTATCCCAAACACTCCTTTAAGAGCCTTACCTGGCAGCGGCATTGCGGGGCATGTTGCTGCGGCCAGGTCCGCCAAATCCGTTGCAGAGTATTTACGGGTAGTGGCAGAGTATTTACGGGAGTAGCTTTAGAATCTATGAGTCTATTAAAACTTAAAGAAGCCTGAAGCACCATTGAGAAGAGCATGTTGCGGGAGATTGGACCTTCATCCTCAGTTGGCCTCAACGCTGGGCCAGGAGACGGGCGGAGGCGCCGGGAGACGGGCAGACACACAGGGAAGTGGATGACATGGCCCCGGAAAGACCGTGAAGTCTGTAGAGTGGCTTAGGCCGGGCATGCTACCCCCAGTGTAGGACTGAGCGAGCCAGCTGCTTTTGCTTTCAATAATGACATGGACCTGGATATTGTTTGGGATTGGTGTTTGCATCTTCGGGATTCTAAAAAAGTTCAGGGCTCACCGACATGCAGAGGGGATGAATCTTGGATGGGTTGAAACTCCAGCAATGAGCGTTGTAGGTTTTCCCTGCCTTTCCGGTGATTTTGACTTGTTGGATCGATATTTGCAAACCGTTTTTTGAGAAGTCACGACAAGGGAAACGACGCATCATGCACCCATTGTCGCCAGCTTCAATGGAAAACATTTTGAAAAGCACCAGCAGACCTGGGGGCAGCCATGCTGTTTTGCTAGCAAAAGGGTTGGTTTTCGTGGAAAGTCTCCCCTCCTTGCAAGTCGACAACATCCAAGTCAATATATGTCTCGCTTTAGAACCTGCTCCAATGGCTCCCGTTCGTTTGGTCTGGACACGAGGCACCAGGCATTCCATTGTTATACGTCGTGCTATTTTTCATGCTTTTTGTCTCTGCAGTTTTTTGTGGATTCACCCCCGAAAACACCTGGTCCCCACTCACCAGGCGCAGGCGCCCTTCCCCAACGGCCGGCCCAGAGATCCTGCGGGAGCCCCAGCGAGCCCGCTGGCCCGCGCGCGCGGGGCGCGGGCTGGGAGAGGCTAACGGGGGAGGCTGTGGAAATCAATGTTGTAGATCTATACTACCCGGAGATGACACAGGAGTAGTGAAAGATACATGCGGAGATGGGTCTTCCTATCTCACGTGTCCGCAGTTGCAATCTGACAGTTTTGGACTCCCCAACAAGTGTATCTCATATGTCCAAGCCCCAAGCCACATGAACGAGGCCCAAAAGGATTGTACCAATGCGCCCACCCATGTGGCAAAACAGGCCTTGTCCGCTGTTGCGGTCGATTGTTTTTGGGTGATGGAGCATGCTTTCATTTTCAAACGGAAGAGATTTGCTGATGTTGCATACCTTTTGGGTGTTGCTTCCATTTGATATCGGCTTGCCATGTGGTCGTAAATCGCATTTTCCACTTGAATATATAAATACATTGATATTTTCCAAAATACTGTCCCATACTAAATGATACTGGGTTTTTCCAACGGGCGCTCCCTGAAGGATTCCAAACCACCACACCTTCCACCCTCCAACTACCCTCATCCAGAAACACCCCATCTCTGCGCGCAGGGCCAGCTCCTGAGGAGCCACCCCGAGAAGAGGAGGCCCAAGAATAAACGTCATAAGTAGACTCAGTAACATTTTTAATGTATCACCTATATGCATATATAGTCTATGTCTATAAGAGTTTTATGGTACCTTGTTTATTCTTCGGCCTCTTCTTCCGACTTCGTCGAGAAGAAGGGGCGCGACGGGAAGAGGAGGTCGAACAGGAGACATAACTTTTAGACTCAGTACATCTTTTAGAATAGCAAAAGTTTGCCTATTCTTCGGCCTACTCTTCTCCCTTCAATGGATCGATTGATTGTTGAAACGATATGATAGTTAAGTAAGTTTGCTAACCGTTTGTAACATTTTACTTTTTACACCTGTTGTGCTTGATTGTTCCCAGCACGGCCCAGAAAAGCTTTGCCTTTTTTTCAATGGTTCTTTTGTTTTTGGGTCATGACAAGCACTTTTGGGTGATAGCTAGCGAAACACACTAACCATGATGAATGGATATGCCTAACCTGCTTTAACTCCATGATATTGTCACAGACAGTTCACTTCTTACACCATTGATGCTAACAAATAGCAGACCTTCCTCTTTGTGTTGATTGCAGTGATTGCAACCATGTACTAACAAGTACCTATCAAGTAACTACTTGGTGAACAGCGGTTTCATAAATGCGTCAAAACCAAAGACCTGTTATTAATCAACCGATCCATCGAAGTAGAATTCAGAGGGCGCCAGAATTCATGGCATGCGCGGATTAGGGGAAAAATGGTTATCAAGAAAGGGAAGGAACTGACTGTGGTTTGGTCAGTCACCAATCAAGTTGGTTTTGGTCTATTTCCCGAAGGCCCTGGCTGGGTAGACAAATGTCTATTTCCCGAACCGAAACTCCACAGATTCAGTGAAGCCGGGAGAACCACTGGTGACTACCTGCAATGCAGCCATTAGTATGAGGTGTCAACCGGTAACCTCACAGAACTGTCGACATCTTGCGGCCGGGTGTTGTGGTGTGTGACCGCGTGTGGGTTGAATTGGGCGTATCGCGCGTCGTGACGTTGGGGCTCTGACAGCATGTCCTCCAAGAAATTCCCTGGCCAGTCGCCTGGGGGCTGCAAGCGTGTTTCCTCAGTTCTTGTTGAGATAGGATGTGCTGAGAAAGCAGATGCACAATGACATGTTGCTTCCTTTTTGCCACGTATACTATATAGTTTGCCGTTGTTGGCGCACCTGAAACTGCAGATGGAGGTGAAGTCCCGCAGGGACCCTGTTCAGGAAACTCCTCTCCTTTACGCGCTGTCCTAGTCTCCATGTTACATGTTCCACCTTGATTCTTCAACTCTTCCACCCTTTGTGGGGTGCAAAAAGAGAACCCTTTGGTCCTTCGGTCCTTCGGGCCAACTCTCGGGTCCAGGGCGTGACGAGTTGTCGCAACGGAACCCGACCGCGCTGCTGGCCGAGTCGCGTAGCGGTCCAGTTTGGATTCCTTTGGACTTCGCGGTCCCGACTTCGCCCTCACAGGGTTCGAAGGAGATTCGCAGGATCCAACTCGCACATGTCCTTTTTTCGGTCGGGGGGGTCACAAGGGGATTCAAAAGGAGATCCAACGACAGGCTGGGAGACCTCAGGAGATCGCGTTTTTGCGCCTCCGGTTCCAACACGGCTCAAGGCATCCAAATGCGAAGTGTTGAACCGGTGAGCCATGTCTGACCGGCACAGATGGTCTCTTCCGCAGAATGACAGAAAATTTTCCTTCTGATCAAACTGAAGTATGTCACGGCCTTTTCAGGCGAATTCAATAACAACTATAGAAACGGATGTTCACAACACGTTGGAGTCTCTTGTGGTCCTTTTTAAAAGTTCAGGTTTCTTGGCACATCCTAGCACCCTGCTCAAAGACTCCGAGCACCCTGAAGGGATAAAAGATAGGTCACCGTGCCACAACATCCACCACTGTTTTTCGCTTTTTCATAAACACCCATTGGCTAGATGGGGGGTCAATGGTTTGTTTCAGTTATTTATTTTTGCTTGTTCAAAGCAGGAGAGTCAAACATCAAATCAATTGGTTTCAATCAACAACTGCAACGAACCCCAATGAGCACCCATGGCGCAGACTGCATTGGCAAGAGGCTTCGTTGTAGTGTCCCGTTGATGGTGAATTGGGGGTTGGGAACTGGGTGTGTTCTAGTATGTGTCGTTTCAGGTCAGCAATGGTGTTTTGCCAGAAGGTCTTCTGGAGTTTTGCTCTACAAACTGCAAAGTTTGGCGTCGATGTTGGACATCTCTCGAAATGTGACCGACCTACCAGTTGTTGTGTGTTTGGATGATGAAGGATACATTGATGGGGCACCAGCACCAGATTTCATTGAAACGGAAGAAGTTCCGCACCACACGTCTCCACGTCGAAAAATTGCATGGACCAACGGTGTCTCACCCAGTCCCTGGTGTCCACATCGATTCGCTGCTGTTTGACCTCTCCGTCTCCAGGCGTGCCACTGGGGCTCGTGCCCTCGCCCTGGCTGGCTTGAAGCCAAGCCAGGGGTCTATCGAGTGGAGAATGATTGGATGGAAAATGGTTAGGGCCTTTGGGGTGAAAAACAACTGATTCCACTGGAAGTGGGGGCACCGATGGTCATATTCTAGTGGTGACGACATGTCTTCAGGCGTGGTTCACTGCAGGGGCGGACCAGACATGGCGCGTATATGCTATACAGTGACAGTAGGTAATGTACGAGTCAGATCGACCAATGAACCACCCCATGTCGGAGAATCCGACGTCACAAGGCCTGGCCGGTTCAACTGACCACTCCGCTCTGGTACGAGTCAAGACCTCGCGGTGGCCTGGTCTGATTGGATTCGTATCCAGCTTGTGACTTCTTGCGCCCCTCTCTCTCAAGACATACTTAAAAGCATCTTGTTACTAGTAGTAATGGCCTCCACCCTAAGTAGCGCTGGCCTCCAACCTACTTGCGATGGCCTCCACCTAATAGCGTCCTTGCTACTCACTTCATCCGTGAACATCCCCTTCCTCACCATGATTTTTCCCAAACAGTTTACTGTTGGGGTTCTACCTTAGAAAGAAAAGAGCTGGCCACACTCACTGGCCGCGCCCCTGAACTCTGTGGCTGGGCTCCGTGGCTGAGCTCTGTGGCTGGGCCTTGTCCTCCTCTTGGCCGCGCCCCTGAACTCTGTCAACTCTGTGGCTGGGCTCTGTGGCTGGGCCTTGTCCTCCTCTTGGCCGCGCCCCTGAACTCTGTCAACTCGACGGCCAGGCTCTGTGGCTGGGCTCTGTGCCTGGGCCTTGTCCTCCTCTTGGCCGCGCCCCTCTGGCTGGGCCTTCTCCTCCTCTTGTCCTCCTCTTGGCCGCGCCCCTGAACTCTCAACTCTATGGCTGGGCTCTGTGTCCAGGCCTTGTCCTCCCAGGCTCTGTCAACTCTGTGGCTGGGCTCTGTGGCTGGGCCTTGTCTTCCTCTTGTTCTCCTCTAACGGAGCCCCTCAACTCTGTGGCTGGGCTTTGTGGCTGGGCCTTGTCCTCCTCTTGTCCTCCTCTTGGCTCTGTCAACTCTCTGGGCTCTGGCCTTGTCCTCCTCTTGGATCGCGGGCTCTGTTTCCAGCCCTTCCCTCGTGTTGTCCTTCTCTTGGCCGCGCCCCTGAACTCTGTCAACTCTGCAGGCTCTGTGTCCAGGCCTTGTCCTCCTCTTCTCCTCCTCTTGGCCGCGCCCCTCAACTCTGTCAACTCTGTGGCTGGGCTGTGCGGCTGAGCTCTGTGTCGGCTCCAGAAAAGCGCGCTCAGAGCGCGTTCTCAGAGAGAAAGATAAACTTAAAGAGAAAGAATGAGAGAGAGAGAGAGACAGAAAGAAAGAAAGACAGACAGCAGGGCGAGCGCGCGTGCGCTCATGTGCTATGGACGGCGGGCTCACGCTCCAGAAAGGCGCGCTTAGAGCGCGCTCTGCAGAGAGAAAGACAGAGAAAGATAAACTTAAAGAGAAAGAGAGAGAGAAGAAAGAAAGAAAAGAAAAGAAAGAAAGACAGCAGGGCGAGAGCGCGCGCGCGCGCTCGTGCGCCATGGACCGCGCGCTCGAGCGCGCTCTGAAATACGCTGCAGAAAGACGCGCTCAGGGCGCGCTCTACAGAGAGAAAGACAGAGAAAGAGAAACTTAAAGAGAAAGTGAGAGACAGAGAGAGAGAGAGAGAAAGAGCAGGGCGAGCGCGCGAGCGCGCTCGTGTGCTATGGACGGCTTGCTGGGCCCTGTCCTCTTCTTGTCCTCCTCTTGTCCTTGTCTTGGCCGCGCCCCTGAACTCTGTGGCTGGTCTCTGTGGCCCGGTTTACTGGAGAGGAGTGTGGCCGAACAAATAGCGATGTCAATGCCGACAAAAATTCATTGATGAAGCAGTTTGCTCTTGGGGTGAAAGTAGGGTGTACCAAGAAATCGATTTTTGACTAATATTGGTCGAAGCGAATCGTTTTGAAACTGTTTGGGGTCTATGCTTGTATAACTCCCCAAACAGTTTACTGTTGGGGTTCTATCTTAGAAAGAAAAGAGCTGGCCACACTCACTGGCCGCGCCCCTGAACTCTGTGGCTGGGCTCCGTGGCTGAGCTCTGTGGCTGGGCCTTGTCCTCCTTTTGGCCGCGCCCCTGAACTCTGTCAACTCTGTGGCTGGTCCTTGTCCTCCTCTTGTCCTCCTCTTGGCCGCGCCCCTGAACTCTGTCTACTCTGTGGCTGCCGGGCCTTGTCCTCCTCTTGGCCCCGCTCAACTCTGTGGCTGGGCTCCCTGGCTGGCCTTGTCCTCCTCTTGGCCGCGCCCCTGAATTCTGGGCTCTGTGGCTGGGCTCTGTGGGGCTGGGCTCTGTGGCGCGCGCTCTGACATAGGCTCCAGAAATGCGCGCTCACAGCGCGCTCTACAGAGAGAAAGACAGAGAAAGATAAACTTGAATAGAAAGAGGAGAGAGAGGGAGCGAGAGAGAGAGAAAGAAAGAAAGAAAGAATGAATGAAAGAATGAAAGAATGAAAGAAAGCAAGCAAGCAAGAAAGAAAGCAAGCAAGAAAGAAAGAAAGAAAGGAAGAAAGAAAGACAGCAGGGCGAGCGTGCGTGCGCTTGTGTGCTATGGACGGCGCGCTCACGCTCCAGAAAGGCGCGCTTAGAGCGCGCTCTGCAGAGAGAAAGACAGAAAAAGAGAAACTACTAGACGACGAGTGACCCGAAAGCATTTTTCATCACGCAGGAAGTCAGAGTGCGAGTTATCCGGTAAGTGTGCAGTGAGAAGTGTGAAGTCGAGTGAGTTGAGGTAGTGTGTGGGTTTCTGTGCGTGTGTCTATGTCCGTGTGGAAATGAGTCTGCGTATGTGTGTGTTCGTGTAAGTTGAGGGAGTGTGTGGGTGTCTGTGTGTGATGCGGCCTCCCAAACCCCCCACCGGCGGCCAAGCGGTGACAGCCCAGCTCATCGTCGTGAGCATTTGGGCTGCTGGTAAGGGGAGAAGCAGCGTGCACGGGTGTAGGGAATCTCACTGAAAAAAACCAGGTGGAATGAACACAGAAAATGCTGAGGCAGCCACGCCAGAAGTGTCTCGAAGCAGAGACCTGTCAGAGGAGATGAACGAAGTAGCGCGCAGGCCTCCCAAACCCCCACCGGCGGCCAAGCGGTGACTGCCCAGCTCATCGTCATGAGCATGTGAGCTGCTGGTAAGGGGAGAAGCAGCATGCACGGGTGTAGGGAATCTCACTGAAAAAACCGAGCTGGAATGAACACAGAAAATGCTGAGGCAGCCACGCCAGAAGCGTCTCGAAGCAGTGACCTGTCAGAGGAACTCCAGTCAAAGGCTTTCTGCCAATTGCATTGGTATCCATGCATCAGCATGGACCTGAGTCTCAGGTGTAGGATCTTCCTCACGTTTCACGTGTGCACCCAAGGCACTAATCCCCAACGCACGTAAAGAAAGCTGAAGACGACACTAAGGGGAAGGAGCGGAAGCTGCCAAAGCAGGTGTGGGACTGCAACTTGATGACAAGTGAAACCAAAGTCACGAATGAACGGATCTGCGAAGCCTTCAAACCACACGCTGCACTGCAGACTGAACAATAACGTGTGAATCATCTGCCTCTGGTCATCCTGGTTGACGCTGAAGAAGTGGTCGTCAACAATGCCAAGGTTCCCTGGCATGATGGCTGGGCAAAGAGGAAGACCTACGAGCTAGTGGGCTGCAAAGTAGTAAATAGCGCATGCGTAGCCATAAGAAGGCTCTGTTTGCGTCGTAAAGGTTCATGTGCGATATGAATATTGCAAAAGCTTGTGGGGTGCGTGAAACTTCCTCCAAGTATATGCGTCACTGCTGTTGAGTAGATATTTTGGTAGTTGGCTCAAGTTGTATGGAGACTTCTGCAATGTCACTGTCAGCACCGACAGGTCAGCCACGGAAAATACGCAGTCTGTTGGCGCAGGCGCTCTGAGGGTGACATGTGCTTCGCTCTAGATGTAGTTAAGAACCACTACGCTGTTCATTTTCTAATCGCCTCTCCTACAGAAACATGCAACAAAGTAGCACGAGGTTAAAAACCGAGCTGGAATGAACACAGAAAATGCTGAGGCAGCCACGCCAGAAGCGTCTCGAAGCAGTGACCTGTCAGAGGAAAGGCATCCATCGATATATATCTTCCGGGCAAAAACGTTTACTTCACTCCAGGACACAGCTTTTCTAGGATGTAGTTAACCAACCACTATGCTTGTCATTGAGTAATTGACTGTCTCAGAGAAAAACGCAGTCGCCAGTTCTCAGCTTCCAGCTCCACAGATTGCTCCGCGTACTAAAGTTGTACTACAAAGTCACCAGTTCT